ATCGTGCTATTTTGTGATAGTACTTTGATAGCGACAAAAGTGATGAAAAGAACTACTTCTTGCTACTTTTTCAGGTAACTTTATGGCTGTGACTGTGTCATAGCAACCATACCACAAATACTGCTCTTGGAAAAACATACCATTTTATCAATATGCTTTTTTAGGACACCAGTCATTTGAAGTGTGATTTGTATCACTAAATTGCACACATTAACTGCATTCAATAATATTTTCAAACTTATTGATGCTCTTATTTGACCTTCTCTCATTGGAGAAAATAGTAAAGCTGCATTCCTAACAATGCGGACAGTTTTACAGGGGTTTAAAAATCATTCATTTTTTGTGGCAACAGTAAATCAAATTTTGTATGAGGAATTTGTCATGAAAAATTATAAGCAACGTAATAATTTCCAACTTGGATTGAGTTGCTTAAACTTTTTGGAAAGGAGGTGTGAGCAATAACTTTGTCCAGGCAAATGTATTCAACTACAACCCTATTCTGTTCTTTAACATTAATCATTATACTATTGATGGCCCTGTTGCCTCACTGGCAAAACATTGTCAAACCATGGCATAAGAGGGGCAAAGGTAAAAGCCATTGCCTTTGTGTGTGTTTGTAGTGTTGCAGTGCAAAGTTTTGTGCCAGATTGGGAAGATGAAATCAGATCAGTTTCTACCACTTTTGCCACAAGAGTATCCTTATACCTTGTTTTTGGTAACAGTAATATATCATATATTTTCATCACCTTTTCTGGAACATATCTAGCAATGAGCATTGACATTACACATTTTAGGTGTCACTAGAGAGGATGCTATGCTACTGCTAAGCTAGCGCGAAGAAGTCTGGAATTGGATTTAGTGTATGCCAAAAGAAAGCTGCAAATATTTGTATTTCCAGACTTTGCTCCGCATCTCATAATCTACATAATGTGCATCTGTATAATTTCTTTGAAAATGTAGTTACCACGCAAATCTTTAAAATGACCTTAACTCAACTAAGATCTTAGACAAATTTAGTCAAGAAAAATATAGAAATACAATGAAACAAACCAGCTTTAAACTGCAGTAGAAAGTGTTTGTTTTCAGCTGCATTACTTTTTATTTGAGCCCAAACTTTTGAGCGACACTGAAGTGATTAAGATCTGGACACAACAAGAAGCATGTGCTACTTGTGTGGTTCATTTGAAAATGTTTCAACGGTCGATTTGGTACTACCACCCACTGCTACGTCTTTGTTGGAAAACAGAGCAAGAGCCAGCTGCTAAAAGCACAATGCAGTGTTCAAACAGGTGTTCTAGGCAGAGAGAGATTAAGCAAGAGAAGAGAAGACGGCAAGCTCAGCTGTGTGCCTTTGCCTTTGATGGGTCCGCCTCTACCATCTGAGTTGTTTCAAGCCAGCGTTGCCTAGCTACAGTGAGCAAGAAGATGTGAGGGCTGGGATAGAGGAGAAAGAGGAAGGGTGGATCTCGCTCTGTTTGGTGTAGAATAAGTGAATCTTTTCCTCCCCATCTTCTCATCACTGTTGAACATCTGTTGTGTTTCTCATCTTACTAGTTTTCAGCTTCCAGGCTTTTTTGATTATGAAATAGATTCATAATTAGTTCTTTGTGGATCCTTGTCTTAAGCCTGTTGCAATAAGCAATTAATCAATTAATTGCATGACAAATGTTCTCAGAAACTGAAAGTGGGATTGAAAGCAATCACAAGAGTCTGGAGTGAATACGATACTCACAATTCAGCCATGCGATGCATTAATCACAGCAATTCCCAAAGTACCAGTAACATCTCCGATACTTTATTAGTGGGTTTCCTGGCATTGAAAGCATGCTGCCGACAGCATGCATGCATACTGCACCATTTGGACCCTCCAACTCATATAGGTCAACCAGAAACCAGCAGTGCGTGTCCTTTCAAGGATCATGTTGGAAACTGAAGTCTCCTTCAGAAGGATCTCTGTTGGCAGGGTGCCGGGAACAACGCAACACATCTGGTGTAAATGCTATAAAAGTACTGTTGAGAAGTCTTGAACTAATCTGTTATTCCCCAGTAAGGCAGGTGCAATTATAAGCAAAAACATTGTGGGAAGAACCGAGCATTACCAAGTTGTTCAGGAATACAAAATATGAGTTTGGTTTGTTATTTGAAAGTTTTGAATCTATTGGTGCTATAATTTTCCAACAATGCCATTTATATATATGCATATGTAAGATTATATACGTAGCATTTTGCACATATTTGTAATGGACACACAGCTACTGTTGCTAACCTTGCTAACTGCTTATTTGTGATGCTAAGTCCAAATTAGAGCTGCATAATATATAAAATCACAATCGAAACTGCATCATCAGTATGTGGAATGTAGCCATCACAAATTGGTCCTTGGAGGCAGTATTTGATTTTAATTGTTATTCATATAAATTGTGTAGAACTGGACCTTTTCTTGCCCATTAGACTTTCTCAGTCTGATATCTACACTTGTGCGTTTTTTTTAATGGTTGAGATGCTGAAGTTTATAAAGAGTGAAAGGATTTAGTAACTGTGAAAATGGGTAAATGTAGAAGTTCCTCCCACAAATGCACACACCGACCTGTTCCCTCCACTCTTTGTTCGGTTTGCCTCCCTCAAAGTATGTAATCACCACCATTTGTTCCATTTCCTCATCACTTCCTGAAACGGAGGATGTTGAGCTCTTTCTTCTCCCCAGGTTGGAGAAATGGGCTGGAGTTTTTGGAGAGGCTAGAAATAAATAAAGGGGGGTTACCAGTAGCAGCTGCAGACAGGGACACACCTTCAGTCTGTGGATGTTGTCATCTTCCTGTGTGTATGCGATGCTGTCTGGAAGTCGGAGGAAATGTTATAAATCCTGGCTGCAGAGAAGGAAAGGGTGCTCTTGCCAACACTATCGAGGTCACTAACTCTGAAAGCAGCATCCATAACCCACCTTCAGCCCTCTTAATGTCTTCCTACACACCCGTCTTTATTCAGCATGGAGGGTTTATTCCACCAACATCACAGCAGCGTGTGTCCCTGTGCATGTATCAGTGCCCTTTGAGGCTCTTTAAGTGGCTCTTCAGCTCAAAAACACTGAAGTTCAAAAGAGTAAGGAGACAATGGCAATGGCTTGTGTGTTACCTGCAATGCACTGATGATACGTATGCTCTATGGTTGGCATCACAGAATGTTTAAAGGTTGATGTAAATGCGAAACCCATCTTTTACATCTCTTTTAATTTCTTACTTTTCTGCTTGTCAGCCTTTCTTAGTTATCTGTTTCATATTCTCTTTCTCTATGATGTATAGAGGCGTTAGCCCTGTCTTACCCTTCCTGTCTCACTGACATCACACACAGAGTCATAGTCTGAAGCTGCTTTCAATTTAGCTGTAAAACCGTCTAGGGTCAGAATATAGTTATTGACACTAGTGGTGTTTTATGACTTGGAAGTAAGTAGGTCATGTTATATTTTCTAATGATCTTTAGAGAATCTGAACAAATGTCTGGTGTTGTGCTATTCAGGATATTAACTCACCACACCCAGATGGATTTTTGCAGTGTAGAGTTTCAATAACTAACTTTGCCTGTTTCTTCTAAATAAAATGACCCTTTCCAACATGCTTGTTCCTGTGGGTTTTAATCAGGGTAAAATGTAGGACACAAAACTTGATACTGTTATATTCAGTGACGGAAACAGAAACTGACCGTTGAACATCAGGGACTGTAGCTTTTAAAAAAATCTAAACCAATGGCTCCAGATCTGCTCAGGAAAACTTTACTAGTCTCATAAATAACAACTTACTTACAGCCATCCAGTCCATGTCCAGTCACACAAAAATACCATATATGTACAATAATTATAAAGTGCCAGCAACATTTAAAAACAGAATTGAAAGTACACATTTGCAACAAGAAAAATGTAAATAAAAAAGGAGAAAATACAGTAAATTAGCTACACTGGTCTAAAAGTTATTTTAGATGGAACCAATTGCAGGTTCCATAGATTCTCTTCAAAAATGTAAGTACACGAAAAAAAAAGAAACACAATTATACTATTATAAGAAGAGAAAGAAAACAATATGAGAAGTATTAAAATAACCATTATTGATGCAGTCTGTATTTTTATCTTTCACTGACAAGAATACTGAAGTGAGTCTCAAAGTATTTGAAGCAGCAATCTAAGCCTGTTTATTGTTATTTATTTATTGTATATTTGGGGATGTTATCCTTCTGGGTGAAGAAACCCCTTTCCGCTCAAGTCTTCTGCAGTTTCCAAATTGCACTATATTTACATCCATTAATTAGATTCAGCCAATTAGGTTCTGCCTTGTGGTGGTGTGTGTTTGCAATTCTAATGAAATTGATTAAAGGTTGTAAAAAATGTCATGGATACATTTTCTTGGCAGTGAGAACTAAAGCACTGTGCCCTGGTGATTGTCTCGTCAATGTTGCTTTAATTGTCTTTCATTGCAGAATAACTGTACCTGGCTGACTGTTACGAAAAAGTAGAGCTAAAAGGTTGAGTAGTTACCTGTGCAGACATTTTACTGTTTATCTCAACACAACAGTACTGCAGTTCATAAAATCTCCCCACTGAAGGCTTTGTTTTCATTCTGCCGGCTCCGGTGTGATCAGCACATGTTGATCTAATCAAGATCTATAATACTCTGCTGTGTTTGCTGAGTTCATCGATTTCCAAACCGCTGTTTACACAGCACAGCACTGATGCAGCACACTGTCAGCTGACAGATTACCTTTTCGTCTAGTTCACTTCATTACAACGTAGACACTTCACCCCTAGAGCCAATTTCAGACTTGAATTTGAACGCAGCATGTTTTGTTTGTCCAAGTTAAATACATTTGACTTCAAATAAATTAACAAAAATATAATCTTACAATTACCGGAAAAATATGTTAGTATCTATTTTTGTCTTTCATTGTGTTTGTCCATCGCATTCCAAGTGGGATTGGGATTTTGAAACTTAAGTTTTTCTTTTTTGTAATTACAGATCTGCCCATGGAATATAATCCTTCAGATCATCCTCGAGCCAGCACCATCTTTCTTAGCAAGTCACAAACAGATGGTAAGTTGTGACCCATACTGGGACTTCTCATTTCTCTGAATGTTGCATCCAAAATGTCTCTACTCCTTGAGCTGACTAGGAATTGCATAACATTTTCATCTACAAATAAGTTTTTGTGTTTTTGTGCTAAATACAGCAATCTGTTTGGACTAGGTTAGCATAGCATGCTAAAACTCGTGGTCTTGCATGAGTTTTAGCCTTTAGAGCAGAGGTGCTTAACTCCTCACTGTTGACCGTGGCTTTAACCGGTTCTTCCCCAGTGAACCCTTACCAGGTTTTTGGAACCACCTTGGGGGTGGTACAATCCGGACCTTGTTGGATATTGCGGCCAAGCGATCATGTGTTCAATGATCGTCAGCGGATTTACGTCTGCAACAACAAATCAAATACCATTTTCAATCTATGACAAAATTGTAGTTTGCGAGATGGCGAGCTTCAAAGTAATAATTCCATCGTCAAACCTTGAGGTCCAAACCTTTTTATTGATTATGGCGGAAGACCACATACAGCGTCAACTTGTCAAGGCAAACCTCATCGAACAAATATACAGAGAGATTTCGGGAAAACTGGCCGACGAGTGTCAATTTTTCACAATCAAAATGACGTCATTGGAGCGTCAACCACAAGTCCGGGCACTGATGGTCCACCCCCATAGTGAGGATCACACTGCCCAGGAGACCCACCCAACTCGGCTAGAGCCATTGTCATGTCTCAATCTGGTGAGACTTGACAATGGTTGCTAAAAGTGTAAAAAGCTCTAGATGCCTTAGATGCATTCCTGTTCCAATACACCTTGAATCAAAAGGACGATTCACTATCGGGCCTGTACACAACTTGATGACATGCCACAGAGGCAATTGATCTATTTAACTCAGGCGGGTTGGAGCAAGAATGCATCCAAGCATTTTAGTACTACCGAATACTGACTGTCAAGAACTGTAGTTAAGGACCCTTACTGTCGAAAGACACTGTTGTTGTCTCATACTGTGTAGCTATTTTCAGATTTTCTTCCAATTCAGACACAGCCTCTTTACTTTAGTGAAAAGTATTCTAATGCTGTTTAATATCTTTAATCCTGGAGAAAAGCCAGTTGAACTTTGCAGCCTGTTGCCTGGAGCATGGTGTATTGATCAGGGATAATGTGCTGGAACTCCTCACTCCTCTGTTGGCCATGATTACGCTCTTGTGGGAAGATCTGCTGGCCATTGTTCTCAGCACTTTATAACTTCAGTAGAATGAAAGGCTTACCAGATCTGGACTTATTGAATAATTAAATACAACTTTTTCTAAAACCTCACCAATACCACATCCTTGATGTTTGCAGACTCACCATTTGTTACTTCATTGTGCATTTTCTTTTGAACATCTGTCATGACGAAAAGCATGAAGCCAACTTGGACTTTTGTTTTTCAGTTTTGCTGCCCAACAAGCGAGGTAAGCATGTCTGTGTGTCCGGTCCCAACAGGGCTGGTAAACACCGCCCTGCTTTACTGTCTGTTTGGGCTTAACTCTGAAGAGAAAGGCTCCTTCCTGGTATCTAAAGCTGTACCGCCTTCATGTTTTGTTTTGTTTAGTTTTTTTGGCCAGTGTTGTCTACGTTTTATGCGTCATCATGCCGTGAATGTGAAGGTAGTTTTTTGTGTTTCGAGCTGAGCTACTTCTGTCATTTCGTGTGTACATTTCTTCCACTGCACATGTTGGTCCATTAGTACAACTGTAGTTAGAGCGGTCAAAACCTCCAAAATCAACGTAATGTAATGTGTTATGCATGTTTTAATTTTCTTTCATAAAAATAAAATTGTTGCTTGCTGCATAAACCAGTTGTACTCCAGACTTGTCAGTGGAAAATGTGCATTACTGTGAGAGCATTGGTGGATTGGAGGTAAGATGCAGAAGAAAACCGGGATAAGAAATGTGAGGTACCTCAGTACTTTGTTTCATGTGTGTAATTCTGCTACTCCTACTTTCCCTCCCAACTGCTCCTGTTTGCTTTTTCTAGCAGTCATTTTCCTCCTCGTACGTAATATATTTAGAATACATTTCTGTCTACAACTTTACACTTCTCCACAAACGTCATGGCAGCAATAGGCTCTCAAATGATTGTTTAATCTGTTGGTTTAACCAGAAGAAAAAATTTGTCAATTCAAGTGTGCAGCACATTCCACCAACGAGGCAGTTCAAAGTGCTTTACATCACAACATACAATAAACAATGATGAACAAGGAATAAACATTGCATGTTGTCATATGTCATCAAAATCATTATGTACACTAAATATGTGGATCAATGTTCCAGTTAATACTAATCAAATACAACTCTATACAGACTGGTTTTTAGCCTTGATGTTTCAGCATTTTTGCAGTTTTCTGGAAGTTTGCTCCAGATTTGTGGAATAGGTTAAAATACAGAAGATCATTTACTGTTATGCAGACTAATTCTGACTTGGTCATCTCTCTGTAAATGTGTAGTGGCGGTTCAAGAGTTTGTAGAAGCAAACACATCTTAACACTCTGCATTTGTAGTTGCTGAAATATTCCTTTTTACAGAAACTTACATTTTTAGTTCTGATTCTACTCTTTTTTTTTTCCCCCCACCACAACCTTTAAAGTGCCAGGGATGTAAAACTTATACTTATAATCTCAAATCATGGCAGACCTGTGCCGATATGCATCAGGGGTTGCTCTAAATCAGGTTGTTTCTCAGTCTTTCTCAGCCAATTAAGTGCTGGTTTGTTATTCAAAACATGGAAACTAAAGTTGTGACTAAGTGTGAATCTTCTGTTCACTTTAGGATTTGCTTCGATTTCAATGCCCCTCCTCAGAAAAGGAGAACAAGTAACTCAAACAATAAAATTAAAACAAAACAAAACAAAAAATGAGTCGCTGTCCGATCCAATTCTTTTTCTACTTTCTTCACAATTCCGCTAACATGCTGGTCATGACAAGATTTGCCACAGTTTCCAGTTTTTCTCAATTTAAAGACTGGCGTTTTCCACAATTTCCTGTTTGACATATTATGATACTTTGGTGCAGTCGTATCAGATTAATATTACAGAAAGCCTAATGTTGCCATGAAGCACATCAACCTCCAGTCAAACACTGTAGATAAACATACAGGAATTGAGTCACTGGAGTTAGCTGTGTGTAGAACATGCTACACAGCATAATGTATACAAAAAAACAACCCAAAATGGACATCTATAAAACTAACAAATAGAAATATCCATTGAAATAAACTGGCAACACAAATAACCAGATTTTTTTATTTCTAATCCAAATCAAATCTAACTTGATTTGGATTTTAATACCACAGTAAAAACCATGCACAAGCTTTATGTTGTCTTATTAAAATGCGATTTACTATTGCTTTTTAAAATATTCAATAGAATAACAAGCCATTCTTCAAATGTTGTGGTAAAAATCTGTACAAGAGAACTTTAGAGAGATGCTGCTCCCTGTCTGTTGGGGTGAGGTACTGCGCTGACGCTGTTCTCTCATCTTTCCTTCCAGTTCGAGAAAAGCGGAAGAGCCTTTACATCAACCATGTAAGTGGAATAACATGCATTTGTTTTACTGTTTAACTAAAGAAAAGAACCGTTTTGTAATTCAAATATCTTGTATGCTTTGCAAGTTCACACACATTTCGGAAAACAAGGTAAAGTAATGTCCATCCAGAGTCACCCCGATGTCTTGTATTTGTCAATTTCACAGATCCTACATGCCTGTAATCACACTGTTTAAAAAATCCCTTTTTTTGTTGTTTTTGTGTATATTTTCTATGTAGCTTCAATGTAAAAAAAAAAAAAAAAAAAAAGTTTTTTTGTGTGTGGTGCAGTTCCTCTCTACCTCACCGTATACATTTAATATTTTCGATATGCGTGCACAATCACCCAGTAATCCAAGTAGGTAAATCTGCAATATAATATTGTAAACATATAAACAAAAAAAAAACAAAAAAAGATTCGAGCAACTTGAAATTACACTGTTATTCTTCTCTAAGAGGGACTACATCATGAATCTAAATCATGCATGCAGCCATGTAAAGCACTCAAGCTGCACTTCCTTCCTTCTCTGTTATAAAGCCATTAAATGTTCCCAAGTATACCATTAAAGACATTGATCAATCCACATGTATGTGTTTGCGTGTGTGTGTATGTATATGCGTTTTGTATGATTGTGTGCTGCAGCATCATCCAGGTCCACTGAGACGAAAGTACAGCTCCTGTTCCACCATATTTCTGGACGACAGCACAGTCAGTCAGCCCAACCTCAAATACACCATCAAATGGTAAGTCGCCTCACTATCTCAGGATTCCTCCTCACTTTAGTTCATTAATTATTTACAGAAATATTCCAAAATGTTATCTTTTTCTGCTTCTTTATAGTGGAGATTATTTTTAATCTGCCTTTTTTTGGTTGGTTTGTTTTTTGCAGTGTAGCCCTGGCGATCTACTACCACATAAAAAACAGGTGTGGAAAATATTCTACCTTTTTAAATTTTCCACTGAATGTTGCAATCCTGTAAAAAAAAAAAAAAAAGAAATAGCCAACAAAAACACATATTATATATAAGGTATATATCATCATTTCTTCTTGTATTTTACTTGGAAACTGTGGGGGAAAAAATAATGGTAGTGAATGGAACCAGCTAAAAGTCTCACATTTCTACGTTTAATAATTCTGTCATCAATGTTTCTTTGATGGACCAGTGTTCTTTTATTAATTAGAAGCAATAATACACACAACTGAGAGTGATGCAGAATCTTTTTTACAATTTATCAAATTTCGTCAATCCTGCTTGAAGCATTTATAAATGCAAATCTCATAGAAAAACAAATTTCTCTGGATTCAGTCCAGTGTTTCAGTTCATCATATGAGAATGAAAAACATATAAATGCCAATAAAGGGGCTTATTGAAGAGGCAGATTGCTATTCATCTCAGGTTTTACATTCTATATTTTTTTCTACCTTGATGTTTTTCCTTCTCTTTCTCCTTCCAGAGACATCGACGGACGAATGTTAGACATTTTTGACGAGAAGCTGCATCCTCTCTCGGTACGGCCTCAGCTGCAGACAAAACTCCCATTAGGGGCAAACTGTAGCAATGTCAGCATTCATCAGCAGAACAAACAGCAAATGAATACCAATGAGTACAACATGGGGGAAAATCTGAGGAATCCAGCTGGTTCCTTCTCATCTGTTCCCATCTGAGCGCATTTGCAATGATTTACTCTCAAAATGTACTCTGACACTTTGCCAAATGCATTCTCTATTCTATTTTCTACTCTAAAAAAACTTGATGAGGTGGAAATAGGTTGTTTTTTTATATTACTTGTCTGATTTTTTTCTTTTTTCTTTCTCCATTTCCAGAAGTCTGAGGTCCCTGCTGATTATGACAAATACGACCCTGAGCAGAAGCAGATCTATCGCTTCGTCCGGACGCTGTTCAGCGCCGCGCAGCTCACTGCCGAGTGTGCTATTGTCACTTTGGTAGGTGCCAAAATACTTGAGGGTGCCAAAATGTGTGCAGACACTAGGAGGGGTTGTTGCTGCTTTCTGATTCTCTGCTGTTTTGACTTCTCCAAAATAACCAGTCCACTTCTGTATTCGTGAAGCTGTACTTAGAATCAGAAGTAAACAGTTTAATATTGCTACTTGCGCTTATGAGTGGTAACCAAATTTAATTTCTAGACTGGACCTTCCTCTAACTTTAGGAAACCTTCCTGCTGGATATTTAGACAACAAATTTGGAAACTCTTTCACATCTGAATGTAAATCCAACACATCATAGATTTATTTATTTATTTTGAATAGACAAAAGTAAAAGAAAGGACATTTTCAGAGGTTTGTACAGCTGTCTGTCTGACCTTGTTTAATCTGCTTTCCTTTTTGACATATGCTTAATGGATTTGTTTTTAAGAAAGACTGTAATTATTACACTGTATATGTTTTATTCTGCATGGCTATTCATAAAAAAAATCTTTAATGCTGACACATGGCTTAAAAATACATATGCTCTGCTTCCTCCATGTAAAATCTGGAAGACTACCAGTAACTGACAGAGCAGTTGGCTGGTGGTAATAAAGTTAGTTCAGCTGACTTAAACCTTAGAGCAATACAGATAGAAGCTGTGGATTCTGTCTTTGCTTTGTAGTTGTTGCTTCACTGGGGAGGAGATTAGAGGCTTCATTAAAAGATGGGAAAAGCAGAAAACAAGAGCAACCAGCAGGTCTGTGCAAAGCAAATGTGGATCATGTACAGATAATATTCCCCTGCAGTGTCTTCCAACAGTACAACAAAAAAAAGTGACAAAATTCAAGTGTTTATATCACTATGTTTTCTGCAAATTCTGTTTTAGCTGATGCATTCAACTAGTTTATATCTATTGCTGGGTTTTTCTTAAGCAGAGAGAGAGAAAAAAAAAACGTATTTATTCGAGTGATACTGAGACCAATCCACAATAATCTGAGCGATTCCAGCAGATGTTAGGATAAAACATCATTGTGTAGCATCATAAAATCTCCTGCCAACCACAGCGTTTAACCATTTGTGCTTATTCATTTGTTTGTTTGTTTGTATTGTGAGTAAGTCAGCATGGGGTTTGGCTCTCGTTTCATTGGTGGGTGGGGGCTTCCTTCAGTGGGCTTACTGCTTGCTGCCGGGTCTGACCTACAGGAGGACCGGGCTGACACCGCCTGCACGCACAAACCCCCCACCGGCTGGATTCATCTAATTAGCCACCTGAGCTGTTCAAACATGACTGCAAAATGATACTATTTCTTATCGCAATTCTTGTTTTTATAACCATATGGTCATCATTGAAACCCTAGTAAAAACTTTATTAAAGGATCAATGGGGGGGTGCTGTTGCGATGACTTTCTGAAGGCAATTTTTCCAAAAGAGAAGGAGTTTCTTAAAGAAGCAGAGGCCCAATTTCAAGACGGTAAATTATGAAGTCATATTTATTTTAAGTCATGTTTGATATGTGTAGCATTTTTATAACAACTGTAGATAACATGGTTACAAAATGGCATTAAATGCCTGGAAAGTTCATAATACTGCCCCTTTGAAAAATCATTTTTTATTTCAGTCTGAGTCTACATTAACAATGTTAAGAAAGATTGGAATATTCCGAATTTTATTTTAAAATGGCAAATTATTAATGTGAAAACAAACTGATATGAATAATTGATACTGTATCAGTCAGCTCCTCTTAATAAACATCTTATTTCTCCTTTAGCAAAGGAGTCCAGCTTTGATGTGTGTTTAAATTTCAACTCACCAATGTCTTTAATTCTAACAAAATGATCAGGTGATCCATTGAATCAGCGCCGGTGGTAATCCTTTAACCTGGGGCCCCTGTGGGGAGCTGTGTAGACTGTGGGAAGTGTGGAAACCTAGTGAAGTTGGAAGGGAACATAGACATACAGCGCTTTGATTGGCATGGATATTTTATGAGGAAGCTCCAGGCTGGATCTTTGAGGAAGAAGAGTCACCAGGGGCCTGGAAAACTCTGAAGCAGCACAGAAGCTGTTAAAATGATGTAATTCATATGAGGGAAGATGACTTTTAACTTGTCTGATCCTAAAAATGGAAAACTTTCTCTGTTTCAGGTTTATTTGGAAAGGCTCTTAACCTACGCTGAGATTGACATCTGCCCTGCCAATTGGAAGCGCATCGTGCTGGGAGCGATCCTCTTAGCTTCCAAAGTTTGGGACGACCAGGCGGTGTGGAATGTTGACTACTGCCAAATTCTCAAGGATATCACAGTAGAGGACATGTAAGTCTTTGAAAAGACAGAGAAAATCATCAGATTTTCCTTTTGTTTCTGTCTGAGCTCAGCAGCAGGTCACCTTTTGAACAGAAAGAGGCGATAAAAGCAGAGATCAAACCATAGGTATACTGTTGATTAAAAATAACGCATAATTGTGTGAAATGCCTTCAAATTGCATTATTTGACAAAATATTGTCCAAAAAGTGTTTTTTCTCTAGTATTCCTTATAGTTTATATAAAAGGCAGTTTTTACATTTAAACACCCATTTCTTCAATGTTTGGCTAACAAACTTCTGGTTGGCTACATTTTTCAGATGATCATTTCAACATTGCTCCATGAGATGTTCATAACTCTGATTTTTTAAATTTGGTTTAAAAAAATTGAAAAACAATGAATTGCTTTCCTTCCTCTTCAGTTACAGTTTGTTGCAAGTATGAAAACTATATACTCATCAAAATAAGGGGCTCTGAGGAGAAATTAAATATAACATCAGTTTTTTTTTATAGACATTACTTAAGTTCAAATTAGCCATGAAACCTCGTATCCTTCATATCCCACATGGTTTTTTAACCCTATGGAATCTTGGCAGGATTATCCTTAGGGTGCAAATGATGATATGTAGACATTCTACCCCTGCATTAACCTCTGACCTCTGCACATTCTGCTGAGCCGGCGGAGATCTATTCTCGTCTTCGGGCTGAAGTGACCACAGTCCACCTGTCTGGAGCTGACTCCAGACAATACAGCTGAGTGTTTGCTCCTGTCGCACTCTAAGATCGGGGGGTGGGTGGGATTTACCAGACTGTGACTCAGAATCAGACCAGTTCTATGCTGCTGAATTCCTCCTCTGTAACCGCTGAATCTCCCTTTCCACCTGCTCGCTGCTGGGAAGTTATGGAGAACGTTGAGCGGGCAAATCCAAAAATAAACAAGAGAGAAGAAAACGAAGCAGCATTATTAGGCAGAGTTTGGCAACAATGGCGTCTAATTTTAGCTGCGTGCATCGAAATGTGCGTGGGTGAGGAACAAAGACTGGGAAGGAGAGGTGGATGGAAGCCACAGAGCAGAAAAGAGTCGGTCACGACCGAGGAGAAACAGATGAAAGCTGCTGTCATCGCAGCGCAGAAGAGATCGCAGAGCTGTCGAGGAGCGAGTATGCATGACAAAAACATAATCTGTGTGAGGATTAATTCTCCTCCTCACACACAACACTCAGAGCGCTGACTTGTAAAGCATTCCTGTTCAATATTTGAAAAAGCTTGTTTGACATATTATCAAAGTTATCAGTTTCCGCTTCAGTCGGACTCCTGCCGTCTTTGGAGTTCTTTGTGGACAGAAGTCAACATAATGGTTATTTTAATTTGGTCCAACTAGAAAGCGTTCCTCACTAGACACTTTTCGTTCCCTTTGTCTTCTAAAGGAACGAGCTGGAGCGTCAGTTCCTGGAGCTGCTGCAGTTTAACATCAACGTACCGTCCAGCGTTTACGCCAAGTATTACTTCGACCTGCGCTCCCTGGCTGAAGCCAACAACCTCAGCTTCCCCTTGGAACCGCTCAGCAGGGACAAGGCCCAGAAACTAGAGGTGAGGACCGCCCGTCTACTCAGTGTCTTATGTGTGTCTGGTTTTTGTTCTTTTGTTGTACTGAAATGTCAATTTCCCCCTAAGGGATTAATAAAGAACTTTTTCTTCTTCTTTTATAAATATATTAAAAGACATTTTTTGTTGGTTATCATTAGTAATTGTAAAACTCAGCTTCTATGCATTCCCAAATCCAACATGTGCCATTACAGAAGGAGGCGTAAAGTTTAAAAAGGAGATTATATAGCAAGTTTGCTGCACTAAACAAAATAAAAGCCGAGTTTAGATCATCACCAAAGAGTGTTGTTCGGTACACTTGAGGTTTTATTCACTGTTTTGGGGAAAAAAGATGTAGGACGATCAAACCGAAAATGGTCCAATTGTCATCCAATTCCTCGATAGATTTCGATATGCGAGTATTCTGGGAAGCAGTTCAAGTGCTCTCTGTGTTTCTTGTTTCGTCTTGCAGGCCATCGCACGGTTGTGCGATAAGTACAAGGACATGAGGAAACTGGCCAAGAAGCGATCGGTGAGTGCGGACAACCTGACGGTGGTGCGGTGGTGTCCGGCTATCATTTCCTAACACCTGGCCACCTTCAGAGGATCAGAGGAGTAAATAGACCTTTGCCATATTGTTGCCTGAAAAGCAGGGAGGCGAGCGGTTCCTCCGACTGCAGGCCTGTGGGTCTGTCTGGAACATTTACACCCACACAACACACAAACTTCCATTCAGACTGGCACTTTGACAAGTGAGATTGCCCTTTTCCTGGCTGTTGTACATAAAAGGTCCCACTGGTTGCCTGAATCAAACTGAGCTGAAAGATGTGGAATGAAGATCTAAGTTGCAGGAGAAAAGGAGGTTAATGGAGATAAATTGAGAGACTGGAAAGTTGGAAAGCACTTCAATAGGAAGACAAGAGAAAAAAAAAGTGGCAGAAGTGTTTGTTTTCTTTGAAGCTCAACTGGTTTGTACATCTGATTAATGGAGGCTGATTGGATTTCTTTACTTTGAAACCTCTGGTTTAATCGAATTTGTTCCTGGAGCATCATTTTACGCCTCATACCGACACATTTCCTCACAATGTTTGTGATTTCTTATTTTTTGCATTCCCATCAAACGCTCAGAAAACGATTGTACATTCCATTGCCTGGGTGAGAGCAGAGGTGATACATTTCAGTAGACTACATATCATCAAACCAACCCGCCGAGTATTTATTGAAACTGCGGTCATTTGGCTAAATTTATCCAGAGAATTCATCACACACCTATTTAGATCAGATTTTACCTTAAGAATCTTTCGTCAGGGAATGCTAATTCAACCTCCATGTGCAGAGACTCACCAAGCTCTATCCAATAAAGCAATATCCAGTCCATCTCTGTGTTTTGGATAAAAAGCATACCCTCTCTGGAGAAGATTACCTTGAAGACGAATGCGAGACATACTGTAGAGCTTATGTTGTGTCCACTGCCATTGTCCTGACCTGTGGTGCCTGTAATTAACACCTCTTCCCCTCTCTCTCTATCAGGACGTGAACAAATTCAATTTTTCTGCTTCACTGTTTTGTATGGCTCGTCCATCTTAAAAAGAAATGGCACAATATGGAATTTACATTTCAAAGCCACTTAAATATGATTCTTCAGGGGTTTTGTTGGTCTAATGAAGACCAAGAATAATAAAAGAAAAAACATTCAGCGCTGATTAAAACACTGCTCAGAAAATGAGATTGTATATTTAAAAAAAAGACTTTCAGACTTTTCTTTGTACAGTGTAAATAAATTGTGAAATTGTGAAAGACCTTTAGACTCACTGAAAGGTATATTGTAAAAACAGGGAAAAAAAGGCAGCAGAGTGATGTTAGAAATATTTATATCAGTTTTTATGGAGGAGGGAGGCAGTGAATATTATATGTATGATTTTGTGCTCCTGTGACAAATCAAGTAAAGAAAAAAAGTGAAGTATTAAAATTAAAATGGGACACACCACTCAAGATTTTTTTTTTTTTTTGTCTATCTCGTTAACATTTGCATAATAGAAATCGGTCACCTTTGAATGTGTTACTTTTTGTAAATGGTGTGTTGATCTCACTAAATATTCACCAAACTTTTACACTTTTTCCAAAAGACTTCTTGAACCACACTGCCAAATGCAACTTTTCATTTTTTCTTTGTACTGAGCCGTGAAACTGACAAAAAATAAATTTAGTAGCGTAAAGGTCAACAATGGTTAAAGCTATACATTACCAAATATTGAGTAATGTAAAGTTGGTATTTCTCCATTTATTTTTATTCCCATCCATTCATTTTCCCGCCTTTGCTTTTAGTTGTTGTTAGCTAGCTAATTTATTTCCTGTATTCTATGTTATCTAATATAGAATACAATAGTTATTTAATAGTTGCTTGTTGCACACAACATAAAAATTAGAATTATATGGCGTAGTATAGTAATTAACTTCAGTACAAGTTTTATCTAGAAATGGTTAGCATTAGCTATGTAGCTAACATTTGTTTCCTTTGTTTTTCATTCAGTATTCTGGCTCCCTCTTGTTCTAATATAGTGTTAATTGACGTAAATTGTGTTATTTGTCTTCTCTGTTAACTAATATCATAGTTTGCTTCCCTGAATGTCCTGTATACATCATATTTTAATTTGACATTTCTAAAGCTTGTACTGTTAGCTAAGAAGCTATCACCTTCTCAGCTAGCTACATTAGGTAGTTGGATCAGAAATCTTTGGCTTATCTTTTCAATAAACAATGTTACTGATCTAAACATTTCAGTCACACCTTAACTAAGAAACTTTAATACAGAAAGTTTTGTTTTGACCCAACAATTTTGGTCCATTTTGTAATAAGCTTCTACTTGTTTTTGTCAGTTTCCGGATTCCAAAGCATTTATATTTTCTGGATAAAAGCAGTATTTTTCCACACTTCTCTTCTTCTAGTAGAGAACAAACAGAGAAAAAGAAAAAAAGATGCTACAGACTGAACACTTGTAATTGTTCGACAATATTGGTGAACTTGTGGGAGAAACCTTTTCTTTACACCAGTGTTTGTTTGCCTTATGATCAACTGGACTCGCATTCCTTCGAGATATTACTAATGAAATAACGTAGCCTAAAAAAAAAAAGTTAAATATTGAGCAGTCAGTTTCTATTGCCTTTTTCAAAAAGACAAAGGTCTGAAGAAGTTTCATTTTCAACTTGTATTGTACTTTCCACGTTATGTGCATTTCATTGACGGCCTCCACCGCGTTGTTTTCCGTTGCACCGTTTGTCAAACCGCTAAGGAACCAGTCAGCCGTTCACGTCTGACCTCCATGAGCGAGAAGGGAAAGTACCGAACCAAAGTCGAGGAGAAATGAAGGAAGATGTTTTCCAGTGTGTTGCTCTAACTCAGTCCACTTACACATTAGTTAATGAGGAGTCTGCTCTTTGAAAGGGTTTGCGGTGAGGCTTTGAATGGCTTCCAAATATAAGTGTTTGTAGGAAAGTGATGTTAGTAGAGTTGCTCAAACTGTCCTCAAAGATTGTATATTGTATTTATTTCATATATGTGTGTACATACGTTGAGGCCCCGGTGTTTTAAACGCCAAGAACTGAGCGTTGTTGCCGTGTGGCCAGCTTTGTTGAGTTTTAAGGTGGAAAACGCACTACTCTGACAGTGAAGACCAGAGGGGTTGTGGCGCTTCAATGGTTGGTTGCTAGATGAGTGTCGCAGCACTGAGCTCTACCTCTGCATAGTTTCTTATTTCTTTACTTTCATTCCTTTCTATTTCAAATGTTTTTGTGTTTGAGATGCTCAGTTTCAATCATAATTCCCATTCTAACTGTCCACTACTGTATCTGAACTTTTTCTTCTCCCCCCCCCCCCCCCCCCCCCCCCCCCCCCGCCTCTTCCTGCTTGGTGTTTTTTTTTTTGTTTT